AATTTCCTGGTAAGTCTATTAGCATGATTATCCTTTAAGCATATTGTTGGATTTGATATGCTAAAATTTTACTTAGGAGTTTTTTGTTTTTTTTTTTTCTTTTTGTACCTATGTTCCTAAGGGATACTGGTCTACAGTTTTCTTGTAATATCTTTTTCTCTACTGAGTCTGTGGGTAATACTGGTCTCAAAGAACAAGACCTTTCTATGGAATATATATAATGGCTTTATGTAATCCTTAATGTTTTACAGAATTCATCAGTGAAGCCACTGATGAGTTGACACTGAGGATTTTCATTACAAAATAAAAATTTTTAATAAAACTAAACCATTATCTAGTTCTTGAGTGAATTGGATTCCTCTGAGTCTTTAAAGAATTTGTTTATTTCATTTGAGTTGTCCCTTGTTTTTCTTTTTAACTTCTATAATGAAGTCACCTCTACTCCTAATATTGGTAATTTGTACGTTCTCGTTTTTCCAATCAATATGGCTACAGGTATCAATTTTACTGATCTTTTACTTACATTTTTAGTTAACTTGGAGGGATATGTCCTATGTTTAACAAAACTCGAGTGGGCTAAGAAAGCTGAAATGCCAAGTTTTATCCTTTCTCTTAGTATTGGTCACAGCAGGTAAGCACAGTGCCTTTACACAGCCAACAGTATTTTTCAACAAACCAAAGGACAAACAGGTGGTAACAGTGATGCTCAAAAGGGAATACAACAAGGAGAAGTGATTAAAATTCCAGAAATCACACCTTACACACTAGAAAACACACAGGGACTTTGAAGTCAGAAAAACTTAACTACGAATCCCTATTGTTTACATATATATATATATATATATATATACCTGATTTTGAGAACAAGTTAAACTCTTACAAATTCAGTAGGGTCGTTTGTATAATAGAGAAAAAAGCTTCCTTATTATATAAGACTGCAAAACTAAAATGATATGGCCTGCACAGGGTGTTCTGCATGGACTGTCCAATAATGTTAGTACTCCTCTGTTCACACCAAAGGATTAATGGGTCATTAATTATAGGTAAGCTTTTAAGTCTATTACCATTCCAAAAAACTTGTTTACTTATTAATTTATTGCAGAACTGGGGATTGAATCCATGACCTCAAGTATGCTAGGCAAGTAATCTGAGCTACATACCCAGTCTTTTTTTTTTTTTTTTTTGCAGGTGGGTGGGGGGAGTAGGGAGCACTCAATCAGAGTCACACTGCCAGCCCTATTTTGTATTTTATTTAGAGACAGGGTCTCACTGAGTTGCTTAACACTTCACCATTGATGAGCTGACTTTGAACTTAAAATTCTCCTACCTCAGCCTCCTGAACCGCTGGGAGCACAGGCATGGGCCATAACACCCAGCTATTGTTTCTTTCTTTCATTCTTTATTTGTTTGTTCATTTATTCATTCATTCATTTATATTTTTGGTGCCTGGGTTTGAACCCAGAGGTGCTTAACACTAAGCCACATCCCCAACCCATTTTTTTTTTAATTTTTATTTTTTAGGTATAGATGGACACAACACAATGCCTTTAATGTGGTGCTGAGGATGGAACCCGGGACCCGTACCAGGCAAGCATTCTATCACTGAGCCACAATCCCAGTCCCCCCAACCCATTTTTATATTTTATTTAGAAACAGGGTCTTGCCAAGTTGCTTAGGGTTTTGCTAAGTTGCTAAGGCTGGCTTTGAATTCACAAACCTCCTGCTTCAGCTTCCTAAGCTCCTGAGCTTACAGGCTCATGCCACTGTTCCTGGCTTTATTTTAATTTTTGAGATAGTTTTAATTTTTGAGGATTTACTAAGTTGCCGAGGTTGGCCTTGAACATAATCTTCCTTCCTAAGCCTTCCTTATAAGTATGAACCACTGGGGCTGGGGTTGTGGCTCAGTGGTAGAGCGCTCGCCTAGCATGGGTGAGGCCCTAGGTTCGATCTCTAGCACTACGTAAAAATAAATAAAGATATTGTGTCCAACTAAATTTTTTTTTTTTAAAGTGTGCACCATTACACCTAAAAAAAAAAAATGTATGGTTGGGCTGGGGTTGTGGCTCAGTGGTAGAGCTCTTGCCTAGTATGTGTGAGGTACAGGGTTCAATTCTGAAAGAGAGAGAGAGAGAGAGAGAGAGAGAAGGAGGGAGGGAGGAAGAGAGGTCCAACAACATCTAAAAATTTTTTAAAAATATATGGTTATTAAATGTCTAAAATTTCATGAACTGAGAAAACTTTTAATTTATATTTTAACAACATAATGAATAATAACCATGTAAAATATAAAATATTAAGAAAAAAGCAAGTCTTCCACTATAATCAGTGCCATAGTCCCCAAGTGACTACTTTTAATGATTTCTGTTTAGTTTTAGTGGTTACCTCAATTATCCTAAATAAAATGAACTTCAATTTCATAACTTAGCAGTAGCTAAGAACTCCATATAATGAGAGAAGGAAATCGGCATTATAAACTTGCTGCACCTCTCCACTTCTATTAGCTACTGTTATTTACACATTGTCAAGGTTTGTATGACTGATTTCTATAATTACATTTAAGTCATTAGCATTTTTTAAAAATATTTATTTATTTATTAGTTATTGGCGGACACAACATCTTTGTTTGTATGTGGTGCTGGAGGATCGAACCCGGGCCACACATATGCCAGGCGAGCGCGCTACCGCTTGAACCACATCCCCAGCCCCATTCATTAGCATTTTTTATATGCTTATGTGATTAATGCTTGTAGAACCAATTAAGGTGAATGGTCCTTTAGAGGAAGAAAGGTAATTCTATATCACTAATTAATAAAGTGAATTTATTCATCTTTTTTTTTAATTTTTACTTACTGATCAAAGTTTTACCAAAACTTTTTATTTATTCAGCTTTATTTTCACTTGCTAGTCAAAATTTTACCAAAACTTTTTATTTATTCATAATTATAGTATAATGTTCCTGAACAAATTTTGGCCTTTTTTTTTTTTTTTTTTTTTTTGGTACTGGGGATTGAACCCAGGGTCTTGTGCCACACTAGACAAGAACTCTACCAACTCAGTGGTATCCCTAGCCCTTATTTTTTGTTTGTTTTGTTTTTACTACTGGGGATTGAACCTGGGGGATTGCTTAACCAATGAGTCACATCCCCAGCCCTTTTTTGTATTTGATTTAGAAACAGGGTCTTGCCAAGTTGCTTAGGGTCTCCTTAAGTTGCTGAGGCTGGCTTTGAACTCATAATCCTCCTGCCTCAGCCTACTGAGTCACTGGGATAACCACACCAGGCTCTTCTTGTTTTTCTTATAATCATGGAGATCATCCCAGTTCTTAATCATGTTCTTAAAATAAATTGAATGTCTTTTTGAAGACATTCTTATCTGCTTCTGAGTTTTTATTTTAATAATATGCTACTTTATAGTACTATAATGTAGATGACATCCTAAAATTTTACTCCACCCTCTACCCTTAGGCTGAATTTTCTTGTATTAGAGGACATCTCCCGCTTCTTGAATTCCTTTTAATTTTCTAGAGCACAATCTCAAGAAATTCACCTACAATTTGTAAGAGGTCCATCTTTCCACCCTACTGCATGTATTAATATCATTATTTTATGCACACATTTGATAATTCAGTTGGCTAGCTAGATTGATATATCATGCATGGTCCCTACCACTCACGTGATTGCAGAAATAAAAAAACAACTAAAAAACCAGCTTTACTGATCTTCTCATCAAACTGAATTTTTAAATCCTTCTAACGCAAAATGGCTTCTCTTTAAAGATTAAGCCAGGTGCAGTGGCACACACCTATAATTCCAGCTACTGGGGAGGCTGAGGCAGGAGGATTTCAAGTCAAAGACAACCTTGGCAATCTGGTAAAATCCTGCCTCAAAATAAAAAGGACTAGGTATGTAGAACAGGAATAGAGTATTTCCAGGTTCAATCCCCAGTACTGCCTCCACTCCCCAAAACAGTATTCATATATACTCTTTATGTTCTGAAATACCAGAAGAAAGTATCCAAATGGGGATCTTCTTAAAATTTTATGGTCAGATGTCCAGTGAGCCCATTTAATCTGAAATTTTGTGTCCTTTGACTTGGAAATATATTCTTCCACCATTTATTAAGTAATTTTTTTTTATGCTACTAGGGATCATGAAAATTGAACCCAGGTGAGTTTGTACCTCTGAGCTATATCCCCAGTTGAAACAGGGTCTTTCTAAGCTGCACAGGTTGGCCTTAAACTTGAAATCCTCCTGCCTCAGCTTCCCAAAGAGATGAGATTAGAGATATGTACCACCATCTCCTGCTTCTTTCATCCTTTTGAGTATATTATCCCTTTCATTTTCTGTTTCATTCTTTCTTTTTTCAAATTCCTCAATATGATCCAAAAATTTTTCCTCATTTTCCACCTATCTTTTTGTAAAGCACACAAAAAGATTTCAACCTTTTCCAGTTTATATACTTATTTTTGTCTTTTTTTTTTAGCTTGACACTTTTCCCTCTAAGAACTCTTCCTTATTTCTCCCTTTATACAGCAATTGTAACAAAAATATCTTCCCTCCTTTATTCATTCTTCCCTAACAGTATAAGAAAATTGAAGGAAAAAAAGGCAATATTTTTAATAATATATTTTTACCAGCACGAAAACCAAATTATAACCTGATAATTGGCTGGCTTCTGGAGCTAATTCTGATCAAGGGTAGAACACACAATAATGACACTAATCAAGAAAGCAGGAAGTCTAACAGATAAACATTATTCGTGCATATGTAGCTTTAATAACTTTTTCTTGTTCCTTTGAAATGAAAATATGTTGCTTTAAATTTAAGATGAGAACAAAACCCAGCAAGAAGACAGAAATACAACTAAACTAATAACTTTGCATTATATTTCATTTTAAACCTTATCTAGCTATATGAAGACAATATCTCCTTTATACACTAAAATAGTAATTAGAATAGCCTGGCACTGATTACAAACAGCAGAAACCAAAAAGAGACCCAAACATTAGCATGTTAACGTTACTACATTACAGGCGACATTTAAAATGTCACCTTTAAAAAGTATATATTTTTCAGCAATGGTACAACTGAGCCATTTGGGGAGCAACTTTCTTGAGGACAAATCTCATATCAAATAAATTTCATATACAGTAACAATTTTTAAGCACATATATATGTTAAATACAGTTTTATTTTTATTTTATTATTTTAGCTTTCCCCCGCTCCCTTTGGTAGCAGGAATTGAACCCAGTGGCACTTAATCATGGAGTCACATCCCCAACCCTTTTTTGATATTTTATTTAAAGTCTCACTGACTTTAAATTAGGGCCTTGCTAAATTGCAGAGGCTAACTTTAAACTCTCGATCCTCCTGCCTTAGCCTCCAGAAAGCAGCTGGAATTAAAGGCATGTGCCAACAGTTCCCAGGTTTAATTTTATAATCTTACGGATAGACATTTTTAGTAAAATCCCGAAGACAGAAAACAAAAGGAAAAGACTGAGATATTTAACTACCTGTTTTAATTATCTTTTTTTTTTTTTATTTAAGGGTGAGATGAGACCTTGAACAAAATTAAAACATAAATCACAAAATTAAAACCTGGGAAAAATAAAACTCCTGCAATTTCCTCCAGTAAAAGAAGATTCAAAAAGGCACCTTACAGACAGGCACAGTGGTGCACACCTGTAATCCCAGCAGCTCAGGAAGCTGGGGCAGGATGATCATAACTTCAAAGTCAACCTCAGCAAAAGTGAGGTGCTGAGCAACTCAGTGAGACCTTGTCTCTAAATAAAATACAAAATAGGGATGGGGATGGGGCTCAGTGGTTGAGTGCCCCCTTGAGTTCAATCCCCAGTACACCTCCTTCCCCCAAAAACAGGTACCTTACAGAAGAAGATTTATGACAAATGGTCAATAAATCTATCACTGAAGAAGTACAAATTTAAAATAATTCCAATTTCTACCTACCAGTTTGACTGTTTTGAATTTTTTTAAACATCCAGTTTTAAAAGAATAGAAAAATTGGCACAACTAGCATATGTGTAAGTTGATATGATTCTAGAAACATCTATAAATGTTTAAAAACATTCACTGCTATAGAAATTTCACTTTTTCTTCATAGATTTACCAGCAATAAAATCTTAACCTGGCTATCCTAAACATGGATATTAATTACTGTTTTATTTATAACAAACAAAACCCCCAAAAGCTAAATGTCCAACAAAAAGGATTGTAATAATGACATTATTAAAATCAGTATGTAGATAAATTCTTAATAAAGAATGTGATCTTATAACCTTAAAATGCTTATTACACCACATATGTATATTCTACTTCCATAAATATATAAACACATACAAGTGGAATCACAAAAAAAATCCATTCAAAGAGATAAGAGGATCACAAGTTTGACACCAGTCTGAGAAATTAGTGAGACTATATCAAAATAAAAATAAAAAGAGGGCTGGGGTTGTGGCTCACCAGTAGAGTGCTTGCCTAGCATGCACAAGGCCCTGGGTTCGATCCTCAACACCACATAGAAATAAATGAACAAAATAAAGGTATTGTGTCTAACCAAAAAATAAATGAATGAATGAATGAATGAATGAATAGAACTGGAATGTAGTTTAGTGGTAGAGGGCTTGCTTAGCCTGCACAAGCCCTGGGTTCAATCCCAAACACTGTTGCCCCCACCCCCCAAAAAAGAAATATTAGTCATCATCTTTGATTAAAATTGAATACATAGTAAACAATAAGAAATATAAATATAAACTGCCCAAAAAAGGAATATTAATTCCTTGGTAAATTAAGAAACAAGAAACCCTTTACATGATGAAATCATATGTAATAATATTTGAATACAAAGAAATCACAGGAAGTGAAAAGTAGAGAATAAAATAAAAGCTAACTTGGGTCTATACTACATTTGTCCAAAATGAAAAAAATTAGCTTTCTAGCCAGGCACAGTAGTGCATAGATACATAAAATAAAGGTACTGTGTCCATCTACAACTAAAAACTATATTTTGGGGGGTATGTGTGTGCTGGGGATGTGGCTCAATGGTAAAGCACCCAAGCCCCCAGGGTTCAATCCCTGGCACTAAAAAAAAAGGCTTTTACCAGGCACAGTAGTAATCTCCGTGGCTTGGAGGCTGAACTCAAAGCCAGCCTCAGCAAAAGTGAGGCATAAGCAACTCAGTGAGACCCTGTCTCTAAATAAAATACAAAACATTTGTCCCCAAAACTCCAGCCATTTGGAGAACTTCTCCAACCAGAGAAGACCTTTATTACAAATTTTCCCTTTAAACAATATGACAGATTATCTATATTATTTCCAAAGAACAGCTGAACCTTTGTAGGAGTGCAGGTAGAGAATTACAGGAAATGGAGGAAACTCAAAAGTTTCAAAAGCATTCTAGAAGCCTAGGAGTAAGATTCAAATTCAGCACACACAGAAAAGCCATTTTCAAAGAAAAACTAAATTTTAAAAATGTGTGAATATAGGGGCTGGGATTGTGGCTCAGCGGTAGAGCGCTCGCCTCACACATGTGCGGCCCGGGGGGGGGGGGGTCTATCCTCAGCACCACATAAAAATAAATAAATAAATAAAACGAAGGTATTGTGTCCAACTACAACTAAAAACCAAAATTTTTTAAAAAATGTGTGAATATAATACATTATAAAGAAAGGATATGTAAGGATAATGAGAATTCTCAAAATTCTTACCATCAATCAAAATGAAAGTAGGTAATACTATCTTTAAATAATCATACTTTTCCAAAACATAATATTACACATTTAATTCTCAATTAATACTCACTATATTCCAGCTTCTTTCTCTTCTTTTTCTCTTTGAGTAGTTCCTCCTCCTCCCTGACTCCTTCTTCTTCCCTTGTCTCCTCTCCCAGAGCATCATAAAATACTGGATCTCGATGAACAGCCTTCCTCTGGAAATGCTTAGTTTTGGATCCTCCTTTAACAAGTACAACTTTTCTTTTCAAACAAGTGCAGCCAAACATGCAATCTGGTCGACGGCAGTGAGCAGGTTGGCGTTTTTCTAAAGCTAGACTGGAACATACACAACCCAGGCGACAGAAATCATTGTTGCATGGAGGGGCTCGTTTCCTTATGATTGTGTGGATAGGTTTAGTTTTGAGAGATGCCTAAAGTTAAAGCAGAAAATTATAACTCTACTAAATCATCCTCTGATACTAACAACTTACAGTCATATATTGGTCTCCTTTCTTCTGAGTACTAACAGCATAAGAATAGCACAAATTCAAAGGACAGAAATGCACACAACTAGGATTCTAAGTAATCTCCCATTCTAATACATAGCACAAGTAATCAAGAGAATAGATATTCTAATTATGAGCAAAAAAAATCAAAGATGGTTTTATTAAACAGAAACTGCACATAAATGTTCTTTAGCAGAGGTTGATAAACCTAAGGATCCTGGGCCAAATTCAATAAGCTTCATAAAGTCTCAATGGAACACAGCCAGGCTTTCTCATTTACATATTTTCTATGGTACAACATTGGAGTTAAAATAACTACAACAGAATATATAGTCTGCAAAGTCCAAAATATTTACTATCTCACTCTTTATAGAAAAATTCAGCTGGCATTTGCTCTAAAGTAATTAATAAAAAGGGAAGAGAATTATATTTGTGCAAGTCTATGAATGATTCATAATAAAGAACACAGTCATTATATAATGAGTATCAAAATCTGACAATATTCAGCTCTAGAATTCAGTATAGAAATTTTTTTCAGTGTTGAGAACAGAATCCAGGGCCCTGTACACAAAAAGTACATGTTCTGCCACCGCGCTACACCCCCAGGGTTCAGTTCAGAACTTTAAAATGGAAAATACGATATAAAAATTCAAAGCTAAAAAATTATCCACAGGCTGTTCTGTCATTTCAAATGCACTTGAGGCTTTTTAGGCGTATCATTAATAAATCAGTACAAATCTTAGTTTAAAATTTTATAAAAGACATAAGACTTTTCCCCAGAGGTTAATAATTCTTTGGATTTTCTGGGATTTGGTGCCTTTAAGCAGAATTTTTAATTATTTTAACAAGATTAGCAAATGTACTTGTTCACATAAGAATGAAATCAGAAATGTTCAGAATGGCCAGCTACCTTTATACAGCTGAGGGGTGTTATTCAAAAGCCCAACTTAGCAGGAAGGCTCTACACTTGAAAAACTGGTTGATAAAAAAACCCAAGAAGACATCTTACTTGTCACCCAGGTGACTAAAAATTTCCTGATTCTTCTGCCAAAAGGCCCCATTCCCTTTCTAGTCAAGCATCAATATACTTCCAGAAAACAGCAAATACATACTTGAGCTGTAAGCAGAGTTGTCAAGGATACATCTGCTCGCTCTTCAGTGATATAGGTCCTTGGTTTTCCTTCCCAAAGTGCACAGTCTTCCAGGTCCATTAGCTTCACCTGAGATTTAGACAAGCCTGGAGGGCGAGTTCCCTGTTGTTGTTGTTGTTGTTGTTGCTGCTGCTGCTGCTGCTGCTGCTGCTGCACCTGTCGCAAACTAATCTGCTTTGGAAATATATTTTCATCTAAAGTTGGTACAGCAAAGTTATTCACCTGATTATCTGCGATGATGTTCGAAGTATTCTTGGTATTCTTATCTCCTAGAATCACAGGGGAGTGCTTCTGCTTTGGTGAAACAGGATATGGTAAAATGGATTTATAAGATGATTTAGTTCGGCCACTGAGTGTTGCCTGTTTATTTTGAGACTTTGCCTTTCGAGAGGCAGAGGGTACAGAATGAGGCTTCAAAGAATAAGAGGTAGAAGGGGAAATGGTAGATTGCTTCTTCAGTACACTATCAAGTGTTCGTACATAGCTGGTACTCTTGGTGGGAAGCTGGTATACCACAGGAGATGTGGGAGCATTGGAAGAGAAACCCATGCTTGTTTCCATGAGCTTGCCTTCATTTTCCAAGTATTCATCTAGCTTATCACTACAGAAAGCAGAACGGTTTTTCAGTGAACCTTCTGAATTTCCACCTAGAAATAAGGAGACAAAAGATACTTCAAGAAATCTAGGACAGATCCTTAGTTCCTTAGAAATGACTCAAAAAGGCCAGGAGTACTAAACTACAAGCTAATGAGACTTCCAAAGTCTCCCTCCTCACAAAGAAGAAAAAATAAAACCAAAAGATGAGACTGAGTCTGAGATATTAATTACATAAAAATCCACTCTGTGGTCTCCATTCCATTTTCTAAAATTATGCCTTACCTTAAAATTATCAAATTACATTTCTTAATCAATAATGATTTTTGCAAAGTGTTAAAGAGTCATTAAGTCATCAAACTTTAACAACTTTTGACCTAACTACAGAATCACAGATTAGTAAAAAATCATAATAGCAAAAAAATATAGAAATAAATCAAGGCAAACCTCAACAGAATGTCAAGGGATTACTTAAGAGACTGGAGCACTAGAATCTGATACAAAGTGCAAGGGCACAGTTAAAGTCACAAGAGCATAATACTTAGGGTTCTCGCTTCCCCACATACCCAAGGGCCTTGTGCATGCTAAGCAAGAACAATAACACAGAGTTACAGTCCCACACCATTTTTATGAGAATTTATTTTGAAACAAGGTCTTGCTAAATTGCCCAGGCTGGCCTCAAACTTGCGATCCTCCTGCCTCAGCCTCACAAGTAGTTGAGATTACAGGTATCCACCACCACACCAGCTCCAATATTTAGCTTTTAAGGAAGAAAAAAATAAGTTCAGGAGAGAGTCAAGGATTTTACTGTTTTAACACTATACAAAGATTCAAAGGTTTAAAAAAAAAAAAGACTATTTTGGACAAAAAGTCAATTTATCTGGTTAGAGTATAACAGCAAGGAAGTTTAGTATAAAAGAAAAAGCAGTAAGGGGCTGGGGATGTGGCTCAAGCGGTAGCACGCTCGCCTGGCATGCGTGCGGCCCGGGTTCGATCCTCAGCACCACATACAAAATAAAGATGTTGTGTCCGCCGATAACTAAAAAATAAATATTAAAATTCTCTCTCTCTCTCTCTCTCTCTCTCTCTAAAAAAAAAAAAAAAAAAGAAAAAGAAAAAGCAGTAGACCAACTGGCACACAGTCAAAATGCTTGGATTACAAGTTTACTTTTAAGTATAAGACTATCAGGAATTATTACAAAGCTCTAAAGTACACAGTTCTGAAATAACATTAGGGAATGATGCTTTTTGTAACTGTAGTGGGGTAAAACAAAAAAAAGAAAAAAGAAAGAAAGAAAATGCAGTTTAAAAAAATGCAGGAGCCAAGCACAGTGGCACATACCTGTAATCCCACCAGCTAGGGAGGCTGAGACAGGAGGACCCTGAGTTCAAAGCCAGCCTCTGCAAAAGCAAGGCGCTAAGCAACTCAGTGAGTCCCTGTCTCTAAATAAAATACAAAAAGGGCTAGGGATGTGGCTCAGTGATTGAGTGCACCGGAGTTCAATCACCAGTATTAAAAAAAAAGCAGGGACTGCACCATCAAGATTGTGGTTATGGGAAAAACAAATTAACAAGACAATTATTCAGTTCAGTTTAAATGCTAGAGAGAAGGAATATAAAAAAGTGGTTAACTAAAACTTTTAACAAAAATTTGTAGCTATATTTCAGAGCATATTTCGAGTTTTTTAAATATTTAATTTTAGTAGTTGTAGTTGGACACAATATCTTTATTTGTATGTGGTGCTGAGGATTGAACCCAGGGCCCTGCATGCACGAGGCGAGCGCTCTACCGCTAACCATGACCCCAGCCCCTTATATTTAGAATATTTTAAAAAACTAACTACCTTCATTCCTAGATGAAGACGCACTATGAAATTTCCCCCTCCATCCTTTGATCTTGGTGAAGTCATTGGTCTTCCCAGTCCTAGAAACAAAGGGAAATCCAGCATCTATAAAAGAAAAAGAGATGACCAAATTCCAGCAAGTCAACATCATAAGACAAAAGATCAAGTCTTATCAAAAATGTATAAATCACTTATTAATACTCTGGCAAGAGACAAAAATCTGCCATAAACTATCCTGAACGTATATCACAAATTACCTAAACTTTAATCTAAAAAAAAGAATTTGGCTTTATAAAAGCTATACACTCACCAGGAGAAGCAGGGTTGGTTCCCACAAGGTTCCAAAAGGGAAAGCTAGTAGCTGGAGCCAAAGGTAGCTGTACTCCCAAGTATTTAAGATCAATGCTCATTGTTGGATCCACTGAATTCAACTTTAAACCCACTATAAGGGGGAAAAAAAAATACCACAAATCATATTATCTCTTTTTTGTTTTTTAACCTTTGACTGGGGGAAGGGAGCAGTTAACAGAGAAAAAGGAGATGGTGACAACCAAATTAATTTATTTTAAATAAAAATTAACAATGACAGAATCATTTTAAGGTGACCCTATAATCCACATTTCTCATTATTACTCATTTGAGTATGATTAAGGTCTGTGATTTGTTTCTAACCAATGGAATGTAGCAAAAGGGATGAGAATATACATGATTATATGTATGTGATTAAATAAAATACAGAGTATAGTATCCCTCATGATAGAGCTTCAAGGAAATAAATTCTGCCAACATGCTGAGGAAAACTGGAAGCAGATCCCTCCCCAGTCTGGACTCTAATGAGAAAACAAGTCTAGGCAATGTCTTAATTACAGCTTTCTGAGACCTTAAACAGAAGACCCAAAGTAAGTAACAGAAGACCCAAAGTATTCTTTCTAATACAAAGAAAACATGAAACAGCAAATGTGATATTAAATTGTTAAATGTGTGGTAACTCATTAAGCAACAATAGGTGACTAATAAATCAAAATGGCAGAATTCAGATCTTTTATGCCCCAGTAGTCCAGAAACTTTCTAGAACCTCTAAACAGAACTTGCCATCAACAGAGTTTTTAGTCTGATTATGGTTAAGTGAACCCATAAATATGAATTCTTTAAATGTTATTACAAAGTAATCTTTTAGGAAAGTATTTAAATTTTAACAAAATGGAAACCAAGAGGAATTTGAAGTATTATTATAGTAAAACTATTAAAAGTCATAGGTGTATGTTTCCAACAAAAATTTCATAGTGCTAATTCTCTAAAGGGTGAAGACATCAGGTAGATTGGGCCACAATTCATATGGCTAATTTGTGTATTAACCACATAGACCACATAGAACCTATCTGCAATTCTACCTCTTTAAGTACTTTTACTTTATCACATTTATTTAAATACATGAAGTAATTAACACAAACTTCAACTTTCTTTCCTCAGATTCCAAGTCAACTAAAGGGATAAGATTATGAGTCCCAACAAATTGTTTTTTTCTTTCCTTTTTTTTTTTTTTAAATATTGTCTTCACTATTTCTTAATCATGAAACCTGGGCTAAACTTCTCTTTGGCTATAGTTTCCACAATGTTAAAATGAACATCAATCAGCCACATTGGGCTATATGCTTTGAGAATTTACCTTTTCTATAATACAAATCATCTTAGACTATGATACAAATCATCTTAGATAAAAAGACATTCTCCAGACTTTAAGGAACATTAGTGTTATATTTCCACCTGATTCATTAGTAGTTACAATTCGGTAAATAAGTTCCATTAGTGGTTTAAAAAAAAGAAAAAGAAAAAGAAACAGCAAAAACCCCAAGTGAATTTTTTTGGTAATTTTAGTAAAATTACCAAAAGTGTAACTTAAAGTCAGAACAAGCAGAAATTAAAAAAGATAGGAAGAAAAAAATCAAAAGTAGAACCAGAAAACAAGAAGCAGCAGCAGAAATTCAAGGGAGAAATAAATTCTAATCAAAAGACCAAAGGAGATATTATAGTCCTCTGAAAAAGAAAAATATTATTAATTAGTAATAACAAAAACTGGAGATGGAGATTTAGCTCAGTTGGTACAGTGCTTGCCTTGCATGCACAGGCCCTGGGTTCAATCCCCAGCGCCAAAAAATAAATGAATGAATGAATGAATGAATGAATAGCTAGCAAAAGCTGTGAAACACTGGCCAGAGCAATTAGACAAAGAAATCAAAGGGATATGTATAGGAAAAGAAGAACAACTTAAATTAGCATTATTTGCTGACGATATGATTCTTTACCTAGAAGATCCAAAAAACTCCACCAGAAAACTTCTAGAACTAGTAAATGAATTCAGGAAAGCAGCAGGATATAAAAATCAACACCCATAAATCAAAGGCATTTCTGTATATCTGTGCAAAGCCTCTGAGAAGGAAATGAGGAAAACTATCCCATTCACAATAACCTCAAAAAAAAAAAAAAAACAGAAAAAAAAAAATAAGATAGTTGGGAATCAACTTAAGGAAAGAGGTGAAAGATCTGTACAATGAAAACTACAGAACCCTAAAGAGAGAAATCAAAGACCTTAGAAGATGGAAAGATTACTTTGCTCTTGGATAAACAGAATTAATATTTTCATACTACCAAAAGCACTACACAGTTTTAATGCAATTCCAATCAAAATTCCAGTGGCATTCCTGATAGAAATACAAAAAGCAATCATAAAATTCATCTGGAAAAATAAGAGACCCAGAAAAGCTAAAGCAATCTTTGGCAGGAAGAGCAAAACAAGTGGCATCACTATACCAGACCTTAAACTATACTACAGAGCAACAGTAACAAAAACCGCATGGTATTTGGCACCAAAACTGACTGGTAGACCAATGTTACGAATAGAGGACACAGAGACTAACCCACAAAATTACAATTATCTTATATTAGACAAAGGTGCCAAAATCATGCACTGGAGAAAAGATAGCATCTTCAACAAATGGTGCTGGAGAAACTAGAAATCCATATGCAACAAAATGAAATTAAACCTATATCTCTCACTATGCACAAAACTTAACTCAAAATGGATCAAGGACCTAGGAATTAAACCAGAGACTCTGCATCTAATAGAAGAAAAAGTAGGCCCTAATCTTCATCATGTGGATTAGGCCCGAACTTCCTTAATAAGACTCCTATAGCGTAAGAATTAAAACCAAGAATCAATAAATGGGATGGAATCAAACTAAAAAGTTTCTTCTCAGCAAAAGAAACAATCTGTGAGGTGAACAGAGAGCCTACATCCTGGGAGTAAATTTTTACCTCTCACATATCAGACAGAACACTAATCTCTAGGGTATATAAAGAACTCAAAAAGGTAAGCACCGAAAACACAAATAACCCAATCAATAAACTGGCCAATGACCTGAACAGACACTTCTCAGATGAGGATATACAATCAATCAACAAATATATTTAAAAAATGCTCATCATCTCTAGCAATCAGAGAAATGCAAATCAAAACTACTCTAAGTCCAGTCACTCCAGTCAGAATAGCAGCTAATATGAAGACAAACAACAATAAGTATTGGCGAGGATGTGGGGTAAACGGTACACTCATACATTGCTAGTGGGCATGCAAATTGGTACACCAATATGGAAAGCAGTATGGAGATTCCTTGGAAATCTGGAAATGGAACCACCATTTGACCCAGTTATCCCTCTCCTTGGTCTATACCCAAAGAACTTAAAAACAGCATACTACAGGGACACAGCCACAACAATGTTTATAGCAGCACAATTCACAATAGCTAAACTGTGGAGCCAACCTAGATGCCCTTCAGAGGACGAATGGATAAAAAAAAAGTGGCATATATACACAATGGAATTTTACTCAGCGATAAAAGAGAATAAAATCATGGCATTTGCAGGTAAATGGATGGCGTTGGAGAAGATAATGCTAAGTGAAGTTAGCCAATCCCAAAAACACAAGCGCCAAATGTTTTCTCTGATACAAGGAGGCTGACTCATAGTGGGATAGGGAGGCGGGCATAGGAGGAATAGATGAATTCTAGATAGAAAGAGGGGTGGGAGGGGGCAGGGAATTAACAAGGATGGTGGAATGTGATGGACATCATTATCCAAAGTACATGTATAAAGACACAAATTGGGTGTCAACCTACTTTATATACAGAGATTTGAAAAATTATGGTATATATGTGTAATAAGAATTACCAAAAAAGTACATGTATAAAGACATGAATTGGCGTGAACACACTTTATATACAAAGATGGAAAATTGTGCTCTATATGTGTAATAAGAATTATAATGCATTCTGTTGTCATGTATTTAAAAAAAAAATAAAATGGGCTGGGGTTGTGGCTCAGTGGTACAGCACTCGCCTCCCAGGTGCGAGAGCCTGGGTTCCATCCTCAGCACCACATACAAACAACAACGATGTTGTGTCCGCCAAAAAAACTAAAAATTAAATATTAAAATTCTCTCTCTCTCTCTAAAAAAAAATATTAAAAA